TATTGACAACAATATAAAATCATGCACAAAAGGAATTACTAATGTAAAAAAAAGTGGTTATGTACAAACTCCAAAACACATTTCTAGTTAACTGAACTTCCAAAACAGAGCTATCGAGATCACTTAAATTACACAATTTAAAGCTGTGTTCTGTGGCTGTGATGAGATCCCCCGTGGGCAGTCCTTGGACTGTTTCACTGTGATGTTTTCTTTTGCAGTGGTTTTAGTTTAGCTTCTGTTTACAATGAGGACAAATGATTATGGTTTTCTTCTTGTGTGTATGCTCTGTGGAGGATGCACTCAGAAGAATCCATCTGATTCTGTCTCCCTCTTCATCTCTGTCCCTACAAACACACAAACGCAGTCAGGTCAGCCCAAACTGTACAGTCGATGCTCATTACCACAGTATTGTTAAGTAATGCTGCTGCTTCATTTGGGCTGCTAACAGGCTGCAGACATTAGCATGGTGGTAGCTGTGTTGTAGAAACTGTGCTGTTTTTCACATCTTGTGGACTTCTACCTTAATAAAACAGTCAGTTTGAGATTTACCTGGTTTAGTCTGAGTTTGCTGAACTGTAAAAGTAGCTAAAACAAAGCAGAGCCTGCGTTACCTTTGACCTGCTGTACTTACTATAGCTGTTTTTGGATCAGCTGACTGCTTGTGTCTTGTGCCTCTCGTTTCCAGAAGTGCACAGTTACTTACTGCAAGTAATTCTTCAAATACAACCCCAGTAAATTAAATAAACATATCCGCTGTTAGATTTTTATAAAAGCTTGAGAATGGAGTAGAAACTGGCACGCTAAAAAACAAATGCGGCGTTGGACAACACAGACAATGAGGCGGTTTCCAGGAGAGCGGGGAATCTAAGTTTGGTTTTTCTTTCCCTTCCCGCTTCCTTGTTCAGACGCACCATCACACATGACTAATTTATCAGAACAGGCAGCAGCAACACTCACGGTGCCTGTAATCTGTGAGAGATGAGGCTGTATTGTCAGCACACTGGTTTTTTCCCCTTATCAGCTTTTTTCTTACTTCCTGTTTTATGGCAGTTTGGCTTTGTCTGCATGTATGACTGTGTGTGCTGCCTCATGCAAACAGGGTGGGCTGCAGGGGTCACGGTTTGCTACACAGCGTAGCTCCATCAAGACGAACAAAGCAAAGAAGGAGCAGTGCCAAGACCCCTGAAATCAAAGACCAGGTTCAGGACCGGGCTTTGTTCCAAGAGGCTGGGTCCGTTTTGCTGGTGCAGGGGGTCTGAGTGCTGAAAGAAGTGTCTGGAGCCTTTGTATGCAGCATGCCTCCTCATCCCGCCCCTTTGAAGTCTGCTTGCTTTTGTCCTTTACATAACTTGATTGAATTTTTTGAACAGCTAATTCGTATGCATTTTGTGAGCAAAAGGGTGGGGGAGGGAGGAAGACAGAAATGCCCCCCACCCAGAATTCCACAGGAGAGCAACAGGAAGGCCAACATGATTGGCCACAGGGGGAAATGACGGACACGAGCGAGCCAAAAGCATAGCATCCATGCACGTGTTTGAATTATGGCAGCTCTTTGCAAATTTGATGACAATGGCTGGGAGGTCGAGGATCCCTCTGCAAACAGGCCACGTACACTCTGGTGGTCTTCACTTTGTTGTCAGCTTCCCCGCTGGGAGAAACGGGAATGAGTTGAGTAGGAAAAACTATTCGTGAGCTGGAACCTGATTTTTGTTTTGTGATTTCATACCTAATTTTGATTATCTTCACTTTGCAGTTATTTCTGTGTGGGTCAATGTGCATATTGTATGTTTGAGGTGAATAAATGCCATAACGTGACACGATCTCAATTCCAAGAAAAGCTGGAACGCTCTAAGATGTAAAACTTCATATTTCCATATTTTATGGACAGTAGAACAAACGTTTCAGCTGAGATCCCTGCATGTGTATTCTGTTCATCTGGATGTTGCATTTTCACTGAGTGACCACATCACTGCTTCAGCCTCAGCTGACTGCAGGTCACATGATGACCAAAACTAAACTAACAGCGGGTCAAAAGCTCTGTTTCATGGTCAGCAGTAGAGATGGCCCTGGCCCAACTTTGAGATGCATCGGTGAATATTTTATTAGCTTAGAGTAATTAGCCATGGCTAATTACTCTAAGCTATCATCAATTTGGTTAAATGCATTTAACCAAATTGATGATAGTAGCATTCATTGGTCCTATTAGCACTGCAGTCCTCAAGGAACTGTGTTATTGATGTCGGATATCTTCTTTATCTGCAAGGCTTCATCTCAACGGATTCACGTCACTGAGCCAAAGTCTAATGAGTCTATATGTGGCTGCTTGAACTTGGTTACTTACAAAGCGTTTGTAAACATGCAGATCGAGCTACTACTGTGTTCAGTGATAAACCCGCTGTGCTTGTTTGTAAACAATATGCCAAGGAAACTCAAAGAACACTTTTTTAAATGAATTAATATTTATTTTGTTTACAATTTAGGATGAAATCAGTCAGCTGCACTTGCTCATGTGTAGAAGTGAAGGAAGTGTGTTTTCCCCAAGCAGCCTGCCTTCACAGCTGCAGGCAGTGATACGAGTGAGGAAGGGCAGATGTGTCATCATGTGCAGAGGTTTGTGTGGAGGTGAGGGTGGGGGGGTGGGCAGCTTTTCACTTCCTTGGCCTTATGCCAGTGTGACAGTCGATGTCTCTGTGTCTCTTCTGCGGGAGGTTATTTTGAAGGTCTCCCAGTTTTATTGGAGGAAGCGTTCTCCCACCCCTCGGTTCCATTCTTCCTTTGTACCCAGCTCCTCTCCCTCAGCTACATTTTCTCAAACGAGAATGGCTTAAAGGAGTCTCAGTGGGGACTTTCCCTCTTAGTTTAAAAAAGCAACACAAAACCCTCGTGGCTCGTAATGAAGCCTTTATCGTGTCCACCAGAGATAATGCTGTTTAAATAAATGATTACAATAGCAGTAGCAATGGTAGCATGAAGGGGAGACTACAATGATCCTAGCACATGCTTCCACTATGCTGTGCAGATGAGCTCATTTAGAACATCAGCAGAAACATGGCACCTCCATCCCCGGGATGAAACATCCTGCTGTTTCCTGCAACATCCCT